CCCTATCCCATGCTCCCCCCTCAGTCTCAGTCAGTCCCAGACCATGGGCACACATGTGCCCAATGTACTCAAACAGATTTCCAGACATGAACCAGGAACTTTCCCATGTGGGTCACCTTTGATCTTCAAAATCTCATTAATCATAAGAAAGCCTCAGGTATGAGACTGTCTAGGCAGCAAAGGGAATCCTTTTCTCAAGTGGCTCCAGGACCAACCCGACTTGGCTCATCACAGCAGTGACAGGGAGGCCTGGAGGCTCTGTCTCCATTCAAGGCCAGGAAGAAAGGTGGGCATCCTGTTAGTGACTTCTGACTTCAAGAAAAAATTCTAATGCAAAGCAGATTCTGTCATATCAAAGAAAACAGCTCAGTTCTGGAAGGAGAGCGGAACAGGTTACTGCACTGCACTGGGCAACGCTCTCGCTCATTCTTAACTTTTACTTTTAAGCTACATATTTTATAAACAGGAGCAGGGAAAGCTTGGGACTTTACACACCCTTAAGGAGAGATAGGTCACCTCAGAAAGTTATAATATGAAACATGCTTCTTGCTCAAAAGAAACACAAGAGTTAACTAATTAAAATATTTAAAGTAATTGAAACATTTACAACTAAGAAAAGTGAGGTCAAGAACTGCATGAATGAAAGCAGGGAGGATCTAAGAATACAAATCAAAAATCAAATTCAAATCACTACATACAGAACCAAGTACCTCAAAACTCATTGTAAATACAATAAGAAATTTAAATAAGCACACTCCTTTACATGTTGTCCCTTCGCATACTGGTCTAGAGATCCCGGTGATGAGCCCTGAAGACGACTCTCCCTGCAGAGGGAAAGGATGGCATCACAACCACAGTGGGTGACACTATGTCTGAACAACTTCCTGTCGATCGGTCAGTATGTCAGAACCAGCGTGGACACAGGCAAAGGAACGGAGCCCAAGGTGTGGGTGTGACTACGCGAAGCTCTACCTGATGGAATTCTGGTTCGCAGCACACTCTATACAAGCATTGCGGAGACACCGGAAGCATTCGGTTATTAACTGCAGACTGGAAGCCAGATGCTCCACTTGGGACGGATCCCTGCAGGCCAACTCAACAGCATGAGACGATTTCTTTAAGATGTCCAGGACTCTTTGGAAGATGGTCCTGGGTGCAGTTTCTCTGAAAGAAGATAAAGTTGTTACAAAGAGGGGGAAAAAATATTGTAATTTTGAAATGTCCTATTCAGAAAGTTATTTTCCCCTACTGTTTTGGGTAGGCGGGCCTGCCTGTTCCAGCTCCGTAATTTTTAACACACACACAAACAAAGGAGAGCCACACTTCTTTTTTTTTTTGAGAGGTTTTTGCTATAGGGCACATGAGCTCGCCAGACAGACAGAGAGAGACAGAGAGACAGAAAGTGAGAAATCACCCCCCAGGGGGGATGGCCATGCCACAATCCTTTCTCCTCCATTCTCTTCTCAGGATCTTGGGCACGCACACACACACACCTGGCGTGAGTTTTAAGCCACCGGGTCCGGGACGCAAACCGCAGTCGACTACATGGGAGTCCAGCGACATAGCCATTACACTAACTGCTGATCCCAAGGAGAGCCACACTTCTGAGCCTTCACTATGGGCCAGGCACTGTTTTTTGGGCTGTAGCTCCTTCAGGCTCTGCCATAACATTAGGAAGTCAATAGTGCCCTGTCCATTTCCTCGCAGATGAGATAAGTGAAGTGGAGAGGAGGGTAACGCCACATCACTCAGCCAGTTACTGGCAGAGACACAGTTCTCTACGACCTGCGTGTCAATCCAGGTCCCAGTGCAGTGACGGACCGTTCACGCTCGCTCCTGAGTCATAACGGAACATCCATATTCCACGCTCCAGGCAGGGAATACACCCTCGCCCTGTGTCACCCAATGTGTACCTGAGTTCAGGTATGAGGAGCAGTATTCAGAAGGACTGCCTGCCGCTCAGTGCACTGGGGACGCTCATACCCAGCGAGGTGGCAACATGCGCACTGACCTTCCATACATGCAACTACACAGACGGATAGGGGACACCGGCATGTCGGTCCTCCATCAAGGATGGACGCCTGCGGGGAGAGACAAACCTGTGGCTGTTCCTTCTGGGCACCCGCGTCTCTGCATGCCTCTCATGCCAGCAGCACTGCCTGCGCTGGCTATCATTCCACAGCTCGGAAGATAAGAATTTTTTGTGCAACATGGCACCTAAATGCAAGCCAACTCCTCATTCCATAACCCCCTAAAGAAACAGCAATCTGTTTTAAAGTTACAAGAAAAATTGCCATTTTGGACAACTTAAGAGGTTTCCACACACTTTGGACCATATGAATTTTCCTCTCTCACTCTCACCCTGAAATCCCAATGCTCTCCACTGCACCCTCCATCAAGGCAGGCTGTCAGGGAGCTGCATGTTAACTCAGAACTTCTAGGCTGAGCTGCCCTGGGTACCGTGCAGCTTGAGTGCTGTGGAGGACACACTGCAGCTGCCCCTTTCCCTGGCCAGAGGACATGTGCCCTCCTAGACCTAGGGCACCATGACGATGTGTCTACCAACTGGACAGAGAGCAGAAATCACACTATTGATCATGTTCTCCTATCTGGGCCTTTGATAAGTCTGGAGTCAAACATATTTAACTACATCATGAATCCTTATTTTTCCTTTTCCTTTCTGGATTTTCCCTTCTCCATAATTTCCTCCTTTATCTGTTTTTTTTTTAATCAATTTTACTTGTATTTATTCATTTATTTAGGTTTTTGCCATAGGGCACGTGCACTCACTGAAGAGAAAGACAGACAGAGAGAGAGGGAAAGTAAGAAGTCACCCCCCATGGGAGATGGCCTTGCCACAGTCCTTTCTCCTCCACTCTCCTTTCAGGATTTTAGGCCGCACAAACACACACCTAGCATGATTTTCAAGCCACCAGGTCTGCAGTGGGAAGACCCTACTGGCAACACTCCGAAGTGCAAATTCAAGGGGATTGTGTTAATCCCACTCTGGTGACTACATGAAGCAAGTGCACAAGCCATTATTTGTGACAATTTTGCCATAAAAAGGACATTCACTAACACTCTCAAGGCAGAGTCAAGGAGTGCTAAATATACTACAGATGCTACATAGCAAAAGAAAACACCCAAGAACTCAAAACATTGACAAGAAGGCCAAGAACAGTCCCAACTCTATGACGAGGAAGAGATCTAATTACCTGTCAGCTCCGCCTGCATAAACCTTTGATGACATTTATTACTTAATCTTACTGACTAATAAAATAGGGCTCTATGAGCCAGCCAGGCAGTGTGGTGGCTAAGGCAGCTAAATCCCACATGGTCAATTACGCACTTCGAGACCTGGACACAGTGCCTTGAAAAACATGCCAGGCACATGTGCATGCATGTCCAGATTTCCAAGAGGAGAATGGAAGAGAAGGGACGGCAGCATAGAGCGTGGTACCCCCAGGGGTGCTTTCTCACCTTCTCTCTCCGTCTGCCTCTCCTTTTCACCCCTTATTGCACAAGCACCTACAGCAAATTAAAAAAAAAAAAAAAAACAGGGCTCTACCAAGAGCCTCCTCCTTTTGCTACAAAGATGGCTAAGCATGTGCATTTATACGTGTGATGAGGAAGCCGGGATGCTTTTTCCCAGCTGGCCCTTTGCAATCTGGCCCTTACCACCCTCCCAGGGTAAGCCCTCTTCTCTGAGGGCAGTTGTTAAAATCGTAACACCTGTCTCATTCAAAATTTGTATCTAACACAGCAAAAGCTCTAGAATCAAACGAGGACTTAGCAAAACAGAAGAAAAGTACTGTTCTTAGAAAAGAAAGTCAGCACTCCACCCACAGCACAGTCAGTAAGTTAAGCTGTGAATAATTCCCAGTGTCCTCTGTTATGTGTCCTATGTGCACCACGCCTCTGTTACACTTTCAACCACAAGAAAAGTGTTTAATTACGCTACAGACAACAAGGGAGCCCTAAACCACACAGCCATCCACACCGACCCATGGGTAAGCACAGAGCACCTCCTCGGCAGACCACCCTCACGTGTGTGGGGCACAGAGAAAGGAGCTGGGGCTGCGATGGCTGCTGTGTGCTCCCCTCAGGTGGCACACTCAGGAAGTCCTGAGCACACGGAGCACCTCTAAACCTCTGTGCTTGGCTCCAAGGTACCCTTCCACTGGCACGCTTTTCCCACCACTCCACCCAATTCTCTCTGGCAGCATCTCGCATTTCTCCTTTTAAACCTTTTGAAAATTCACAGCCCTGGTGAAACCCCTGACTTCTCCGGCCCGGCTGGGTCTCACATCCATGCTCCCTGGAACTTGCTTCCTAACACTGGACCAACTTATTCACACCTGAGGAAACCTACATGCCCTGTCTATCTCCCCAGCTAGACTAAAAAGCCCCTGGAAAACAGAGACTACCTCTTTCTTTTCAGTACCTCTAGCACCCAGAACTGGCACTCGCTACTTGAATCTGTTCAAGTTTAAGCTGGAATGAGACTGATCACGCTCCAGCAGCCCCTGACTGCAGCCCAGCCCTATGCGGTCTAGGCCTGAGTGACAGCAAAATCAGCGCCCCCAGGGGCAGCAGCTCAACTCTCTCTTCCCCAGACTCAGAAACCTCAACACGGCTATTTTCTAGGATGCAGGTGTCTTACTATTGCTACTGAACAAACATCAACTTTCTGCTTCCCCATTAAATGATGCAAGGATGAGCATGGGATTGCAGGGTAGAGGGGAATGAGGAACTATTACCCAATTAACTGTATTTTGAATTTCTTGAGAGCAGAGCAGCTGTCTTAAGATACCTGTTTCCCTCTATAAAAGGTGGGAGAAGATGGCAAAAACCTATCTCCAGCGCTCTGTAATAACTAACCATAGATTCTATTCACTGTATTTTCACTCAATTGACAGCTTTTATCAGGTAAGGCACAAAGAAGCTTGTCAGTAACAGTAAACACCATGAAACATTTAACTCTCTTCCATAATCCTGTACCTCCTCAATAGCCTTGAAAGAAAACTGCTTGGCATTACAGATCCAAAGCATCTAAATCTGTCCACTGTCAAGACGATGCGGTTAAGTAAGTGTAATGATTAACAATGAAACAGCTAGTAAAGGCCAGTCAATCAGGCCAGTCGGTGGTCTGCTGTGGTTAAGGAGCTAGACGCCCCAGCCAACTGCGCAGTTTGCATCCCAGACCTGGTGGCTTATAAAACATGCCAGGTGTGTAAGCCCAAAATCCCAAAAGGAGAGAGGAACAGAGAAGAGACTGCAGCATGACCATTTCCCATGGGGGATGCTTTCTGCCCTGCCCTCCTCTCTGTATTCCTCCTGCAAGCACATATAACCTCTGGCCAAAAAAATAAAAAAACACCCAATCATGCCTATTTTAAAATTTTTATTAATGATAATAAATGCTGTCAAAAAATATTCACAAGACTTTAAAACACTTAGCTACATCAGTCACAGAAAGTAGAAAGTACTTACAAAGACAATTAAAATTCAACCGTTAGACATTCCTATTAGATAGGAATGCATACCCTAAAGACAATGTATAAATGAAATGTTACATTACAGAACAAAAAAAATCCTTTGAATTATACAAAAGGTAGAATTTCACTTCCTTCAAGTATGGACAGATCTGTAGGTTTAATCTTGGCAAGTCTTGTTTGAGTAAAATTAAAGAAAACTACCTGTGGTTATATGGAAGAGGTTAGACTGCTCTAATACACTACAGGTATGCACCTTTCACAGTGAATCCATCTGGTGAGACCTCCTACTGAAAACGAAACTAAATGCTAGTCATTGTAATGCTACAACTAAGACTCTCATACTTGTTAAAAGATTTATTTTAATACCTTAGATTTAATTAAAAATTGACATGTGGTTTACAGTAGTTTAACCACTGTGACTGAGAAAAACTATTAAAACACACCTAAGTTCAAAGACAAAAATAACAATCACTGGTTGTTATTTAAAACCATAGTTTGGGCACTAATTTGACTGAGCTGGATTATACAAAAACAGAAAATAAAAACATTTCTATCTCCTGCCACTAACAGCCAAGGGCAAAATTTTGAAATTCATCTTTACAGAACTGAAACATCTTTTTCATCTCTCCTCTCCCTTCTTCTCTCACATGGAGGGCTCTAGGTGTC